AGGCCAACAAGAGGATCAAGGGAGGAGGCCTAGAGCTTGAGGTGGTGGAGAAGTTGGATAGGGTGTTGGTCGAACTGGGCAGGTTGGCCAAGATGGAGAGGGCGGTCTGGGACGAAATGTTGTCGACGGAGCTCATGGCGAGGTGCAATGTTGGTAGACCGAACAAGGGGGGGAGACCGGCGGCGGTGACGGGTGCCCCGGACAAAGTGTGGGGGAGCATTTCGGTGAAGACTCAACGCAAATGCATGCACCCCGGATGCAAGAGTAAGACATCGAAAGGATGTGCCTGCGCGGAGCTTTGTGTTGGCAAACAGGCAGGGGACCGGGGTGTTTTGATGTGCCAGGCATGCTTCAACAACCTTGTGAGGCACGCTAGGGCCGGAGATGCTCAACGGAACCCCCAGAAGTACCGGGTGGTGGGACGCAAGGATCTCGTCTGGTGGTCGTGAGCGCATATTTTTTTGGCCTAACGTTTTACGTTGAATGTGACATGTGTTCCTGGCGGAGGAGACGCGGATGTGTTTCGAGGGTGCTCCGTTGTGATTTGCCTGGGGGTCAAACTGATCCTACAAGTGCATGGTAGTGTCGTTCATCAACCATCTTCCCTTCCGCGAGGGATTTGTTGTGCCTTTATCGTCCATTGTGTTTTCTTGAATACAACGGTGGACGAGTGATAGTTTTTGTGCCTTCGTCGTTTACCTGTGTTGCTGATAGCAGCAGTGGTATAGCTTATTAAAATTTAATTAGATCTTGTCTCAGATTTTCTATAACTCCAGAACGTATTATTGTTTTCCGGCTCGAACGCAGCATTCATACAAATACGCTCAGAAACAAAAGCTTTTCCGGCTGCGAGTCTTAAATTCAGGTTATCTTTTTAATAAATTTTATCCGCTGAAATAAGCTCACATCATACACCCTCAAATATCACGACAGGACGGCGTCCGAAATGGCCGCTGGCACGGGTGNCGGCGTTACTCCTTCTGCCTTGAACAGAGAAAACTTTGAAGACTTCGTGACTACGACGTACTCTCCCCGTTCCATGATACGGAAGATACCACGCTATCTCTCGGCATGCCCCTGGGTATCGACGTGTTGGGCACCATATGTACATGTGTTTCGACAGCATTGCTGGAGCATTCTGATAGGGTTGGGGGTAGACTCGCCGACTTCGCTCATCCCTCTCTCCTTTTCACTTCGTGCGGCCATGACTTCGCTCGCGCAGCTGCGTTGATCCACGACATACCGCGTT